TGTGGTGAACATGGAAACAAACATGTTCTGATACTATAATTATGACGCATTTTCTTTGAAACTGATTGCCCTACACCAGAGCCAGCCTTCTTTATTTATGGCCTAGTCTCACCAATGTCAGACCAGAGAACGCAAGAAGGCGTACAGTACAGTTGCAAAATGTCTAAGTTTGGTGTTTTGACATCTTAACACTGGTTTATTGCCGGAAAGGGTCAAATCTGTTCTTGTTTTTCATACAGTGCAGTCATTTGATCTTGTTACTCTCCGATCTGAAACCCATAACTCTGTTCCCGATGCAAAACACGAGTTTTCTAGCACTTTTCATAATTCGCACCATAATCATAGCTTCTAACGATGCTACTTGCTACTAAAACTATCTCTACTAACCATGAGCCCATCTCTAGCATTAACACCATCGCTATCTCGGTCCCATACTAACCTTGGCTCTACGACTGTGTAAGCCTAATCTTGTCACCGAAGTGGAGCACAAACTCTAGCCTGAACGTTCACACGTACACCATCACCAGTACTCGCCCCAAACCCTTGCCATAATCACAGCTAAATCGTCAACGCCAGTCGCCTCATCCTAGTCCCTATCACACTCGCCTTACCTCTCTATCAGCCTAATCAGCCAGGGTCGATCCACTGCTGGATTAAGGTCTTTTCCTCCCCACTTGCGCACTGATTTTCATCACGCCGTCACCTTGTGTGGGCGCGTGCCATTCCTCGGCTGCTCACTCCCTTGTTAGTCTTGACCCTAACACTTGGATGCTCTGTCGATGATACTGTAGGCCCCAACCATAGCTATTGTCTCCAATACTAGTCCAGGAACCAGACCAAAACCGCCAACCATTCGTTCAATGGAACCCAGTCTTTTTTCAACTTCAGTACCATTGCCAGGGCTGGCGAGTCGCCATAGGATGGCCAAAAGTTGACTTTGAAACATATTGTGGGTCAGTCCACGTAACTGTATTATTTCGTACTTGTGTGGAATAACTGTGTCATAGACTATGGACTGCTTGCTTAATGACAATGTGACTGTTTTTACTATTTGTTTCATTTGACCAGGTAAGGCCCACTCAACGGAAGTGGCTTATCAAGTGGACATTTATAGCGGCCAAATAGTCTAAACGCACGTTGATTCTAAATGTGGAGGGAAAAAACCAGAAGACTTGGAGAAAAAATCCACGCAAACACTGGGAGAAAGACACGCAAACTCCGAATATATAACAGACGTCAGGGTCGGGATCGAACCCACGACCTCCTGTATACCTGACGAGGTAGTTAATACCTCGCCACGTGGCACCAAGTTATTATTTTCTAGTACAGTGTTGTTTATTATTAGGGTCGTCTTTTCCAATGTTTGTTTATGATTTGAGTTGGAGCTGATGGAGGACTAATTCGCTTGGTGATGATGATGCTGCTGCGAGCTGCTTTGGCACAACCAGTAAAATACAAAAACGTGCATCAATAGCAAACAGTGGCGTTAAAATAAATTATCATTCATCACATACGAGGCGATGTTTCGTGAAGGTTAAATGCCCCTCATTCGTATTCGGTGTATGCTATGAAGAAGGTCCATCGCCCGAAACGTCGCTTGTTATTGTTTTGCCCTTCTAAGGCCACGCACACACTCTGTTATTGACAAATGTGCGGATTTTTTCCCGATATAGAGTAGTACAGTATTTGGTACACGTACAGTATATTTTTGTATCTTGAATCCAAGGCCCCTTGAGATTTCCTTTCACGTGTACAGTACGTGAAATTGATCCCCCTCCGCTTTGCAGACTTTTGAGTTTGTAAATGTGCGTTTTCTTCAAACATTCTTACCAACCTGCTGCTTCACCCCCCCCCCCCCCCCCGATGCTTTGTGTATGCGGCGCATTCTACGGGCCCTGTCGTACTCTTTATGCCGGTTGTACCCTGGTAAATATGTGCAGTAACATCCTTGGGAACTTGAGCAGGTAACAATTGATTTTGTTTGATGGTGCGGTTTTTTGTTGTTGCTGTGATAAACCAGGCTTCTAATTGTGTAACGAGGCCCCCATCGAAGGTGTGCAATTTATTGCCCGATGGGATTTTTACTTTTGCCAAATAAAAATGGATTATTCGCTCCTCGAGCTACTTAAGAGCCCTAAAGCTTTTGCTTATTCTTGGCACCGCCACTCCTCGTGATGACGGTGACGACGACGATGATGATGGCGAAGGCGAGGAGGAGGAGGATGTCGCGAACCGCAGAGGGTTAAGTTTTTCATCCCCCTCAGAGCCGTGGCCATGGTTAAGTGCGGGTTTTATGACAGCCGCACTTCAGGTCCATCAGCGGCACAAAGAGTAACTGTCACCCTCGAGTCCACTCCTCCGTGTGTGCGGAGTGTATGGGAGTGTGTGTGTGCGGAGTGGTGGTGGAGCGGTCAGCGCGCTGCCAACCCCGGCCACTCGAGTTCGATTCCAAGCTCAGGGCCACCAACACCAGTGAAGATTGTCTGAACAGATCCTGGGGCCTCCCCTAGGTCGACTCGGCCTTAAATGAGTACCTGGTGCGGTGTGTGTAAACATCGCCACTAAAGGAGACAAAGGCGGCCGGGCGTGGTGCTGGCCACCCACCCCCTCGTGTGCCGTACCGGCCTTCATAGGTGCTAGTCGCTAACAGCACTTGCCCCAACAGTGTGTTCCAGGCGAAACGGGGGGGGTCTTTGTCTGTTATGCAGATGGATGTGTATATAGTCGCGCGTCAGAATCGCAGTCTTTATTTGCGAGTGGTGTATGGGTGCACAGGGTTTGTAATTCTGTACAAGTCTGTCTGGGTGCTATTGTGAGTCCGGGTGAGCATTGCTGGCATGTATGGGTGTGTCATTGCGTACTTTGGCGTGTGCAACTCGATTCACGTTCGGGTGTGTGCAGACTCTGAGCTCGTGTCACTGCGATGACAACTTGTGCGAGCCTCGTTTCAGAATTCCGCCGGCTCTTGTGAATTCCCATCGGTTGGTTTTCGCTCGGCGATGTTCAAGAGCATTGGAGCCACTGCGGGGGGGGGGGGGGGCAATGGCTGTCTTCTACACACAGCTTCGGCATTACACACACACACGCACATCTCTCTACATACCCACGTGCGTGTACAACTATGCATAGCTGCGTGTGTGTGCGTGTGTGCATGCGGGCGCGCGTGGGAGCGCCGGTATATTGGGTAACGCAACTACGCAAGTTCCACCCAGACTGGTTTTCGCACGGCGATGTTTAAGAGCATCCGAGCCACTGCGGGGCAATGGCTGTCTCCTACACACAGCTCCCGCATCACACACACACACATCTCTACAATGATTATCCACGTGTGTGTAAAACCACGCATAGCTGTGTGTGTAAAACCACGCATAGCTGTGCGTGTGCGCGCGCACGGGAGCGACGGTATATTGGGTAACGCAACTCCGAGAGTCCCACCCAGACTGGTTGCATGCCTGGCCCTGCCTATGCCCCCCCCCCATCCCCAGTGGCACATGGTATCCGAACCTGGCTCGGGCATCCTGTAGGTCAACTCGGCCATAAATCCGTACCCGATGTGGTGTGTGGACGTCAACACCGGGAGACGTCGCCACCATCTCGTGCGCCGTGGCTGCCTTATTAACCCCTTCCCGTTCCGATGACGTACGTGCGTCTGCGTCATGGGAGCGGATTTGGTTCCGAACGGAATCTTAATACATTTCCGAACAGAATCTGAAGTTAAAGGCCATGCGGGAGGGGGGGGAGGGTGTGTGGCACAGCTTGCCGACGGCTATCGTAGAGCGTGCGGTCGTGTCACTGCACTTCTCTGTGGTGAGTACAGGTAACGACGTCTTTTAAAAACAGGAGCGCCACTCCGCAAATAAAACTAACGCCAAACCGCTCGCGTATTCGGAGATTCGGCGGTGAACGCGACCCACCCTCCCTGCAACTCGCAGACGTCTCCTCAAGGGGAAAGGGTTTCCAAAGCTGCTAACTGCACTCGCCCCCCCGAAGTGTTCGAGGCCGATCATCGTAGAATCCTTGATTCAGATCTTCATTGAAAAAGAGGATCCCTGGCACCCGATGGGTGTTTATAAATAAGAATGTAACTTGCAGCCGTTTTGTAAATCCGCCGCTTGGTCGAACGCCTCTTTCTCCCCCCCCCCCCCATGCCGTGCTGGTCGCGGGTTGTTTTGACAACACTTACCCTTGCTGGTCGGCGTGGTTGGTGAAGGCAGGGGTGGGCCACCTGGACCGGTTGCAGACGTCACTCAGCCACGGCTGTCGGCCGCGGCTGAGAATCGAATTCCGGTTTCTGAGTTCACAGTTGCGTCGCTTTTACCGCTGTGCCACCACTCCCCCCAACCCATATGTGTTTAGCTTTCTCATAAACTTAATAAAGGTAAACTACAAAATAGCCGAGCTTGGGGCCGGACACGTGGCTTGAAGGGATTGGTGACTGATGGTCAAGAATGCGAACGGAGTGGCAGCCAAGGAATGGCATGTGACCTAGAGGACATCCACCGCGGAGATGGAGCGTTGGAATTAGTTTGCGCGAAGTTGCTTGGTGGATTTATTGCATCGCAACGACCTTGAAGTTGGACTGCGTTTTGTTATAGGCCTTCATCCAGCAGGGGATTGACCATGGATGATGATCATGATGAAAGGTTATCATCGCTGTTTGTCTCTGTGTGTGTGCGCGTGCGTGGGGGTGGTGGTGTAGCGGTTCGCGCACTGCGCCATGAACCCTAAACACCCGAGTTCGGTTCCTGCCCACGGCCAACACCAGTGACGTTTATGCCTAGGTCGACTCGGCCTCAAATGAGTCCCTAGTGTGGCGTGTAAACATTGCCACGAGGGAGACAAAGGTGGTCTGGCGTGGTGCTGGCCATCCATCCCCTCGTGTACCGTTCTGGCCTTAATAGGTACTCGCTAACAGCACTTGCTCCAACGGTCTGAGGCTATGCGTGTAATATCCGTCTGCATCTTTTGTGTGCTGCCGTGACCGCCCCCCCCCCTCGCAGGCCATCTCGGACCAGTTCAACCCAAGCCTGAGGAACCTCATCACAACAGGGAAAAACTACGAAAAGTCTCTGTCCAGTGAGTACGGGGCTGGGTCCGCATAGACCGGTGTTATCCAGCAGCAGTGTTTAAAACACGTTCCTGCGGAGGGAGCTGGTAGGAACGTTGGGTTGCTCGGTCAATGGCCACCAGGGTCAACGGCGGCGTGGTGTATTCCGCAAATATGCCCGACTGTGAGGGCGGGCACAAGCCGGCGTGAGTAGGTTAAACGTTGAGTTGTATAAGGGCACCACGGGGTGACCAGCCCCACCCTCCCCACCCAGCCCTTCCCCACCCTCCCCACCCAGCCCCTCCCCCACCCAGCCCCTCCCTCCCCACCCAGCCCCTCCCTGCACGACGCAATCACCGCGGCAACCACAGACGAGGTGGAAGGCAGCAGCCCAGGTGGCCGAGCCGACGCCACAAAAAATGGGCCAAGCTCTGCAGTCCTCTATCTATATCTTTTTTCCTTCAGCGGCCAATTAACGAGTGTATACTGCGCTGAAGGAGAGTCCTCCTTCGCTGTCGCGTCGGGCAGCCCTGCGGCAATTGTTAGAGAGGCCAACAAGGGTGCTGACGAAGACCCAAAAGCAAGGTTACGGACTGATTTGTAATTTTACTGCATGTGCACACCGTAAAACAGACCTTTGTCTATTATAATGTAATTTTACAACTCGCGGGTTACCAAAACAGCATAATAAATATAACAAAATCACAGCACACCTCTCTTTTACTTCCAAGTTTAAATCCGCCTTGTACATATATGCATTCGAAGGCCACAATGAAAGTAATCGATTACTATAATGTGATTACGTTGATTCAAGTTCCGGAGATGCTTGTGAATAGCAAACTTCGCGGATCGTGATATTGGCCTACGAATAACCTTCAATAAATACGTAATTAAACGTACGAAAATGATCTCGTCACTTTATCTCTCGTCATGATGCGATCCGTGGATAGCCGAAATCGCGGAGAGGCAAGCTTGCGCGCAATGAGGGAATTACCGTAATCGGTCAATCGGAGGGCGATTCTTTTTTGTAGCGAGTCATTCTGCAGCAGACCGATGATCGCCGACCCCGCCCGCCCGGCTCTTGACGGTCCAAGCGGCACTAGCGTCACGGACCGGTTTACACTTTGCACCCCCCCGTCCCCACCAAGTTATGATAGCCAAAAGATCCCACGGCGGTCAAGGGTCAAAAGTCAAAGGCGTTCCTCCCTGGCCGAGCCCTGGGCCCGGTGGGGGGATATTCCGCATGCCTACGGCAAGGCGCAGCAGCGTTGCATGCTGTGCAAGTAGCGCTGTGGAATGAGAGTCAATATCGACTTGGCCGCCTTCGGTGTGTGCCCGGACGACGGCCTGCGCCCAAATCATGTGGACCGCGTGGAACGCGCCCCCCCCCCCGATCCCGCGAGAGCCCCCCCCGATCCCGCGAGAGCCCCCCCCCCCCCGCCGATCTTGCGAGAGCACCCTCCACCCCCCGATCCCGTGAGATCTCGAGGTTAAGCCTGGACTGTGGCGTGGATGGGTGGCCACCAAACGAAAAGACAGACCCACGAATGGACGATTGGTTAGGACTGATCCATTGTGATTTGCCAACGTTTAAATGTCAGCACTGGAGATGGCACCACTACTGTAGGGAGGGTGTACAAGGCCAGAGCCCCCGTGTAGCCTTAACAGACTGTTGGGGCAAGTGCTGCTAGCGAGCACCTATGAAGGTCGGCACGGTACACAAAGTGGTGGTTTGGCCAACACCACGCCTGGGCCGCCTTTGTCTCCCCAGTGGCGATGTTTACACACCACAGCATGTACTCGTTTGAGGCGGAGTCGACCTAGGGGAGGCCCAGGACCCGTTCAGAAAATTGTCACTGGTGTTGGCTGTGAGGGGAATCGAACTCAGGTCACCGGATTTGTGGAGCAGCGCGCTAACCGCGACACTACCACTAATAAGGGTGACCACCATGCGCACACACACACATACTGGTTGCCATAGGGATTTCAGGTATACGTGGTGGGCAGAGCAACAAATATATGTTGTTTCACTGTACTTTTATGCTTGCATAATGATGCTCCCCCCCCGCCCCTCACCATCACCAACTGGCATTGATCCAGCGTGGTGACGTATGATCATGTATCCACCAAGTGATGACCTATGGTGGCGGTGATAAGAACGGTGATTGTAACAACGATAATGATGCTGATGGCACCGATGATGGTGATGCTCACAGGTGTCACGAACTCTGCCAAGAGTTACTTTGAAGCGCTGGTGAAGATGGGGGAACTCGCAGGGTCCAGCCACGCGTCCAAGGGCATGAGTGAGTACCGCAAGACACCGCACCACTCATCGTCACGGAGCTCCCCGCCCACTGTACCTGGGTCTGAGTGTGTGTCCGGGTGTACCTGGGTCTGAGTGTGTGTCCGTGTGTACATGAGTCTGAGTGTGTGTCCGGGTGTACCTGAGTCTGAGTGTGTGTCCGGGTGTACCTGGGTCTGAGTGTGTGTCCGGGTGTACCTGGGTCTGAGTGTGTGTCTGGGTGTACATGAGTCTGAGTGTGTGTCCGCATGTACCTGGGTCTGAGTGTGTGTCTGGGTGTACATGAGTCTGAGTGTGTGTCCGCATGTACCTGGGTCTGAGTGTGTGTCCGGGTGTGGTGTAGTGGTTGGCACGCTGCGCTACGAACCCGGCCACTAAACATCAAGTGACGATTGTATCTGAACCACCCGTACTGTACAGCACGACCTGTGCTGACACAGCACTCCGCACACACTGCACGGGACCACCACCCGTACTGCGCGATTGGGTCGCCACCCCTACGTTTGGTGCGCTATAAACTGGCCATCACCGAGCGAGACCCGCGCACCATTCTCCCCACCACACCCCTCCTCCCCACCACCACCACCACCGCGAATCGCCAGAATGTGCCGGGACTCGTTGTGCACCGAGTTGCCGTGTGGGGCGTGTGGCCCAGCAAGTTTGGTAATTTTTCCCGGCCCGGAGAGTGGACGCTGGATTTGCGGTTTGCGGTTGGCATTTGACGCGGTTGGCAAGGTGGGGTTTGTGAAACAGGAGGGGACGTCGGGTTTTAATTTCGCCTCGGTTTTAAGTCTGAGTGGGCGAGCCGGGAATATTTTTGTCCGTTCCCCCGGCACGCCACGTCCAGTACGTGCGTCTAGCCGAGGCCGTGGCTGCCACTGTTCGCTTACTAACCGGCGATTTCCCCCCCCCTTCACCTGAATTTATTCGGGAGGAAACGACGCTCCGGTCGACAACATCTAGGGCCCCCTGCTCGCTCACTGCGGGTCAGTGCTGTGTTGAGATGTGAAGAGCTAAGTTGTCAGACGAGGCACGGGCGCGTGCCCGCGTGGACGCCGAGATAGGCAGTGGTGACCTTTTTGAAGTTTATTTATGATCGTCTCCGAGGCCCCTTTGAGGCCAGGAGTGTTGTCGTGTTCAAGGGAATAGATGGACAGTTGGTTATATACACACCACGGTGGGGGGGCTGGTGGGAGGGGGGGCTGGTGGGAGGGGGTTTGAGAGGGATAGAGGCATGCAGAGACAGATGTGACCTTTGTAACCAGGTAAGGACCCGTTGACACCAGGAAGCTGTCTTTCTTTTTAAAGGAAGAACGGTGTTTTAGTTTAGCACAGTAAAACGCAGCTTTCTATGGAGACCAATAGGTTTAAATAGATAACCCCTCCCTCGATTTGCAAAATGACCCATGTAGACTAAATGCACCGACTTGCATTGGATGAAACTGTAGCCCCGTGGTGAACAATTACCGCCTTATGAACCTGCCGAACTAAGTTTGATTCCGGGCCACGGCTAACATCAGTGGCGAGCGATGTCCGAAATGGCCGGTCCTGGGTGACCTCTCCCCACCTCTCCACCCCCTTGCCAACGGGCACTAACCAGCGTGGTGAAGTATGGTCACACAACCTCGCTGCGATTGGCACGGCGTGGGGAGGCCCTCATGCAGCAGTGGATTGCAAAGGGTTGTAAGTCGTCATGGTTTAATTTCATATGATATACCGGTTCGCCTTATTAGTGGCTTTGAAATCATAAAATTGCCGAACAGTGCAACCTTAATGGCAAACGTAAATTTCAGCTCGTAATTTATTTTTGGGTTGGGCCACGATCGGATTATTAATGGGCCCTAACCCAAACCTCATTTGGGAGTGGCGAGATGTTAACTACCTCGCCTGGTATACAGGATGTCGTCGGTTCGATCCCAACCCTGACTCCTGTATATTTGGAGTTTCCGTGTCTCTCCCCGTGGTTGCGTGGATTTGTACGCGGATCCTTCGGTTTTTCCCTCCAACATTTAGAATCGACATGCATTTAGAGTACTTTAGCTCAAATACATTTCCACGTGATAAGCCACTTCGTTGAGCTTTCATTTGTGGCTAGGTCTTACCTGGTAAAATAAAAACAGTTTATAGTTTTGTTGTTGTTGTTTTAATATTAGCTGTGGCGAAAACCACCTACGTGTCGGGCTTAACGAGAACAGTAGAGTCCGGAGTTTCAAAGGAGTGTGAGCGCAATACCTCCCCGCACCCGTGCGAGGGTTGTCGTGTGTGCATGTACGTAGCCAGCCAAGCTAGTCGGAGGTTGCGGGGGAAGGGACGACAACTAAACGCAAAAAGCAGCTCTAAGCGAAATTAGTTTTAAATCTAGATTTAAAAGTGCATGGCTCCATTGGCCCCTGGATATCGGAAGGTAGATCCTAAGAGGGGGTATATTTAGCCATATCTTAGTGCCGACTTATGTACGAGTGTGCCATACAATTGTATTTATTTATCTTCCCTCCCCCGGGTATAAAATAAAATGGACATCGTCGAAAAGAGATGGAACGAGAAGCGGTGCGCTAAGGAGCGTGGCGAGAATCTGAAGTTTTTTTCTTTTTTCCACCGAGTAAAACCCCATTCGAGCTTAGAAAGAAGCTCTCTGTACAAGGGTGACCTTCGGGCCGGCAGACAACCGAGGAGTAGGAGGCGTAAGCGTGCGTGGAGTTACTCCGGCAGACAAACGGGAGGAACACGCTTGACCGTAGGACGTCCGAACGTCGGCGAGCGAAGACGCCGCCAAGTGAACCGTTGAGAGAATCCCAGTTTCGTGGCCATGGGCCACGGGTGCTGCCATCGCTGGAAGGCAGCGGCCCTGGGGCGGGTGGCGTGGGGGGGGGCGGCACTCGCGCCAGAGTGGCGGCAGCCAAATTCGGGGGGAAACGTGCTGCAAGATTACGTCCAGAATGGGAATAGGATTTAATCTTAATTTTTTGAGCTTTCGTGACTGCAGGAATTATTCTTTGGTTTTTTCGGTAAAGTCACGTATAAAGATAAAAGAATAAATTAAATAATAGCATACGACGCTTCGATTGCAACACAACCAATCATCATCAGGTATAATGAAATAGCGACATAGAATCTAACCAGAAAACTATAGACAGACATGTAAGCAGACAGATATCACCAAGATACAGAGAGAGCAACCCAGGAACAGAAAGGAACAGGATTTATTTTCTTATTTATCCTGGAGGAATCCGAAGAGCTTATTAAACTATACGGTAAAACCTTGGATTGCGAGTACCTTATTCTGCGAGTGTTTTGCAAGACGAGCCAAGTTTTTTTTTTACTAAATATTAACTTGATAGACGAGCGAGGTCTTGCAATACGAGTAGCACGTGTTTACGCTTTGTCTGCCGAGCGTCACGTGATCACAACTGATATACGAGTGCTTTGATATGCGAGTGCTTTGGATTACAAGCACGTTTCCAGAACGAATTATGCTCGCAAACCAAGGTTTTACTGTATATATATATTTTTTAAAGGGTGTCCAGGATTTTCACCGGTGTCCAGTACCGTGGAGGTGGCCCGGCTTCAAATCGATGGATTTGCGCGTCATTGCGTGATCGTGAGAGATGGCAACAGCGGCTTGCGGAGGCGGTGGGGTGGGGGAGACGGAGACGTTCATCCAGCAGTGGATTGATCATCGCTTGCTGCTGATGCCGATGATGAAATCGTGGAGCACAGTTGTACGTTTCGGTCTCACAAGTCCACACGGAGGACGCCGCTGCCGCCGCCGCCGCACGTGTCCAGACAGGCGCGGGGTGGAGGGAGATCGCAGGAACACCGCCTTGCTCCACCGCCCCCCGTGCCCCCCCCCTCCCCTCCTGTCCACCACCCCCCCCCCCCCGCCACCAACCCCCGGGTTTATTTTTCCGGACTCGATGTGCTGTACTGTACACGAAGTTGTCGCATTGGTGCCAAAAGCGATGGTGAAAATGCTATGACGTTGTTTGTATTGGAAACACACACTGCACCGCAGCTGTGCAGAACAGGGAGGACGGGAAGATATGCTAATGAAAGTCCGATAGTCGTAATCGCATTCTTCATAATCGTCGTCGTCGTCGTCATCAATTTCCCAGTAGTTGTGGGGGAAGTCGTGAAGCGAGTGTTGATGGAACAGACTGGCGGCCCTCCCGCCATAGGAACGTGGAATTTCCGCTGCCGGCTCGGGGCCCAAGATGAGCCACGGGGCATGCGCTCGGGACGAGAGCCGGGTGGGTGACTCACGTTTGACTTTGGCTCTGGTTTCGTTAATTTGTACGGAAGCACACGCGCAAGTATTGACAAACCCGGCTGGGATTATACAGTAGCCATGATGTTAACCTCGCCTCGAGTTCACCACTCGCTATGGTAACGGCCACTGAGGCCGGAGCAATCCTCCAGCCTCGTGCACAAAGGAAGAGATCCCCCGTGTGTAGCCTTCAGCAAACAGTTGGGATAAGTGTTGTTTGCGAGTAGCACCTGAGAACGACGGCATGGCACATGAGGTGTTGGTGTTGGTCAGCACCACGCCGTGCCGCCTTTGTCTTCCCAGTGGTGATGTTTACACGCAGCACTAGAGTGTTGACAATTGGGGAGAGGCGCAGGACCGGTTCAAATGTTCGTCGCCGCTGTTGGCCGTCAGCGGGAATCAAACTCGGGTCGCCGGCTTTGTAGGATAGCGGCGCTCGCCATTGTGCCACCGCTCCCAAGTGCACAAGACAAATATCCCCCGTATAGCCTTGGCATACATTTGGGGCAAGTGCTGTTAGCGAGCACCTATGAAAGCCAGCACGGCACACGAGGGGGTGGGTGGCCAACACTGCGCCCGGCCGCCTTTGTCTCTCCAGTGGCGATGTTTACACACCGCACCAGGTACTCGCTTGAGGCGGACGCTGAGGACCGGCTCAAATTATTGTCGTCGGTGTTGGTGGCCGTGAACGGGAATCGAACTCTGGTTCGCCAGACTCGTGGCACGGCGTGCTTGCC